TGAGACAAACCGGCCTGCCGCGGTCCAGGCGCCAGAGCGTGCTGCTAATTAAAAAGTTTAATTCTGCAACTGCGGTGCTGGCATCCGAGGGCCCAGAGGTGCGTCCTTGCGTGCCTTGGCGAAGGCTTATCAGGGGCAGCCAGATTGGGGCATCCCAGGAAGGAGCAGCGAACATGGAGGAGCGGCAGAGTGCGGAGACTCGGCACCCAGCCTAGGCTTGGTAAGGAGCCCGCACCTCTTCCCCTTTCCCCTCCCCCACATGGTCTCAGACGGCCAGTCAGGAAGGCGAGGAGTCGCGGGCTTGAAGTGAGGAGCAGACATGCTGAGGCCTGGGTAAACAAGGGATAAACGCTGGATTTGGGGCCCAGCTCTGCTTCGCTCAGCAGTGGATCTGTGTCCGTCACCCGCTCCTCCTGACAGAGGCTCCTGTCTCAGCGCCCAGAGAGAGCGACAGAGAGAGGATCAGCTGGGCACCGCCACTTGCTCGCTCGCTTTCCTCCCAGAGCCACCGAGAGATGGCACGTCGCCACCGTCTACATAACAAGAATTCTATTCAGATGAAGGAGAGCGGGGAGGGAAAATTTCTCCCAGCCACAGAGATCTAGCATTTAGCAAGAAACAAAAGTGCCTCAGTGGTTAAATAGATAATGGAATGAGAGCACTTCATTGTGTAACCTTGGACGGTGTAGAGGCGCTGTGTGGGCTATGAAGTTGTACAGCCTCTCATTCATCAGAATGCATTTTATCGCCAACAAAAGGAAAAGACCTTGGTGCTGGCAGTGCTGATTTTCATTGGGAGCGCCTGAAAGGCCGCATCCTTTAGTCGCTCCTGACCTGACGTGAAAATTGAAAAATTCTTCCAAGGAGAAGCGGTCTCAGGATCTTCATATCTAAATATTATGAATCAATCATTTTGAATGTTTATTGAATGAAAGGCAGATGAAATGTTTTTAAAAATTGAAAACATAGACCATAAAAAAGCACGCACCACAAGTAAAGCAAGTAAATAAATAAAAAACACAAGAAACAAAAGTAAATGAATAAATCAAATCCATAAAAAAGGGACCTTTGTACTGTCTTTTCATACCATGAAAGTATCAAGCAAAGCTACCACGCATTCACAAAAAAAATGAACTCCATGTATTTTGCATTAATTTGAAGGCTCTGTTGTAAATGAGGCTTTAATTTGCCCTCTTTTGTTCTCCAGCACCTCTTTAAACCTGTGGTGGAACCCCAGCAGTGGTGTGACTCGCCTAATGATGGCACGGCTATTATCGCCTGACGGAGAGAACGCATTTACCCACTCGATAAAAACTGGGGCTTCTCTTGAAAGCAGCAAGGGGTTTAACAAGGCATAAGGTTCCTCCTTGACAAATCTGTTAACCATTGTGTCAGGTGGTAAAATAAATGTCACTGAGGTGTAGCATCATATCTCAAGACCAAGGAGATTAACTAACTCCTTGTGATGTATATGCCTGCTGAATGAGGCACCGAAGGCCTTTTACACTTGATATTTCAAGACATGCTGCAAGTACTGGCTTTGAAGCCAAGTGAAGCACTTCGCTTGCCACACCTTTCACAAAAGTGCAAGTCTATTAAAATGCAAGATAAGTTTATTACAGGTACATTCAAGCGTTATCACTGGTTCAAATGTTGTGGTCATCATGCCTCCGAGCACAAACTGAATCAAAGCATTTGATTCAAATATTGACTATCCAGAACTAATATTAAATGAATGATGTGCATGCAATAAGGCTTGCTACTTTAGATGTTTGATAGCACTTGCTGACAGTGACGGCAGCCTAAATTTTATTATGTTTTCTCCCACATCCACCATGCGTAAAAGTATGACTATGAAAGTTTAAATATAACCAAATATCTCACTAACAGTACTGTCATAGAACATCATTCTCACTTTACACAGAAAGGGGAATTTCACTGTTTTTTCAATTTCTGCACAATTAAATCATTAAAACAGACATGCAGAGTGGTTTGATGTTAAATGTTCCATTGTAAATGAACAGAAATGTTCACAGTGGTGGTGATAGGAACCAGACATCCAAAGTGTTTAATGCCTCTATTAGGTACATTACAGAATGCTGCCTGATCTCTGAGACATTGTTTTATGATAGTTTGCTGATAACACTTGGCCCAAAATGTATTTTTTTTATTTATTCATGGCAGAGAAGTACATGCAGGGTGTTGTAAGGCAAAGTTGTACCCAAAGAAATCTTATTTTGATTGACTGCTGTTTTACTGTTATCAACATTACATATAAAAACCCAGAAGACATGTGCAGGTTTACTGGGCACTTATATAAATAAAATGGCTATTTTGTGTTGTAGTTAATGCAACCCCAGACTCCTTTCACCATCACTGTAAACAACTCACATCCAACCACTCTCAGTGATTTTGTTTTTTGCCTCAATGACTGAATTATACTGAATGAATCTGCTAAATTTAAGGCAATACTTAACCATTTTTTTGATTTAGCTGCACAAGGTATTTTTGTACACAAAAGCCCACACGAGGCTAATGTGTTGATATCACTCCCATATTTTCACTTTCACATCAAAACTTTGCAACTGTTTAAAGTTTTCACACCTGATATTGCCAGCTGCCCGTTACATTTGGTGAATATTTCATGACAAATGGACCAACAGAAAAGGTCCAAAATGTGGAATAAATTCTTATGCACTACCTTACTCTTTTCTCACAACACTACCATTTTGGAACCATAAGGTTTTGTTATGACTGTTATGATATACATCAAGAAAATAAGAAAATAATAATAAAAAAAAGTCTGCTTTTTTGCCTTGCTTGCTGTGCGTCATCTGGATGTTAACCTAACTTGGCTGGAGAACGCGGAGACAAATTTGCGGCCGCTTAAGGGATTTGCCCGGCTCAGGGGCCCAAAAACACACTGGCGCTCTTTGGTGTTATTCATGTAAGCCTGTCGTCCTCCTCTCTAATGAGCCCCACACCATGAGCGTAATGAAACGGCTCGCATTAACACCCAGCAAATGAACAGCCCAGGGTTGAGAGCTCCTCTGAAGTGAAATGCAGCAGATGCTCTTCTGTAGCCACAGCCCTGAGTCACAGTCCAGAGAGAGTGAAGCCACTGCACCACCAAATGCACATGCCGCCTTAACACTCCCTCACACCTTATAAACACGTATGCATTCAATCTCTCTCGTCCTGTCCTCACTAGGTTGGCTGCTCAGATGAATGGCCCTTTTTGCATGCAGGTGCTCTGAAGAGCATGTGGCTGCGGGAAAAGGGATGTTCTGTAAAACAGCACTGACCCAAATTGTCAATGGAGTAGCAAAACGTAATGCTGCTTCTAGTTAACAATGCGTAAGGAGTGAAAGTCCATGTACAGTCTTAAAAATAAAGGCTCCTACATGGTTCTTAGTTTTGGAAACAGCATTTAATTTGTATAGAAGCAAGTCTATGGATTCTCAGCTAATTTATGATCATATTTGTGCATCTTATTTACAGAAATGCTCTGTTTAAAGATTGGTTAATAGTGGTTCTTCAAAGGTGATTCTTCTCCAAAGACACTTTTATTTCTAAGAGTATTTAGCAAATCATTTTTTGCAAGGACACAAATTACCTGGCACATAAATGTGGGTAACCGTTTTGATTTTTTATTAAGGTTTAAATTGCTGGATAAAGATGTTTAGTAAATCTTAAGATAACAGGAGGGATAAAATTAGGTGGCCAATCAGTTCCAGCAGTTCAATTTTGTATGAACTACCAGTAAATACAAAATTCAGGACCAGAAACTTGATTCAAGGTCTAGATTTTACACCTCTGGTGTACAGAATATGGGGTACTGGAGGGGGAACGTGCAGAGCAGCACACACCTGAGTAAGCACTTCATGATTTAGGCTCACTAGGGAGTAGTCTGACGCTGAGCAATAGAGCATACGCTGCACCTGAGCATGTAGCTGCTGTTAGATGAACCATGGCCACGGCAGTTACTCTGCTACCCATAATGTAGCAAATATTATGTGTGTAAAACCTTTGGTTAGTGACGATACCTTATATTTATATAGGCCTAGAATGAAATTGCTGCATGTTACCCTTAGTTATAACATGGGCAAATTAAATCACACCAATGTACAGTGCATTAACCAAATAATGTGCGCCGCTCTGCAAAAATACAATCCAAACTGAACACAAGCAGGTTCACTGTAAATCACCTTCTCCGCTGTGTGTTACTAAAGCTTATTGGTACAAAATTAATTTTGCAATTTCTAATGTAAAATATAGCTTATAAATTAATGGTACCTGAAGAAACTATTATGATTATGAATGCAGACCTGAGTAAAGCCATGAGTAAAAAGATTTGGGCAAAGATTCAAATGTTGACCCACACCCAACCGTGCTATTTCTGCTATTATCTAAAACAAATTTGGCGCTCTGTGAGATATCAGGCACAAAAGCCACAGGACCTGGAGACGTGAGTGCATGTTTGAGAGTAGAGAGAGAGAGAGAGAGAGAGAGAGAGAGAGAAAGAGAGAGAGAGATTGAACATAAACTACTCTAAATAGTACGCACCCGAGCACAAACAACACCTATTTTATAGCCAATGTAATTGAATGCAATAACCCTGGTCGATTTTATGAGACTAAAAGCAGGAACATTATTTTGACTGTGAGATGTTTCTGTTTCTGCCCAAGACAGCAGAGATTTTCAACCTTGGTGATTGTGAACTTCTTCACATATGAACCATTTCCACCAAAGATCCACGAACCAAAAAGTACACTGTTAAAAATAAAGGTTCCTAAATGGTTCTTGGCTTGAATGTACAGTTCTAGGAAAAACGTACATTTGGAAAAACCTTTCAATTATGCGGATGCTCTTTAAACTTCCCATTTGAATCCATTGAAAGCTTCTTTGGGGAACCAGAAATGGTTCTTCTATGATACTGTTCCAAGGAACCCCTTTATTTTTAAGAGTGTAGTGTGCGGGACCATCATGAATGCGCGCACCTGTACCAATCAAGCCCCCTCTCGTAGTTCCTGTCGAAAAAGTGAGGCTCGTTTCCGACGGCGCGGACGTCGGGGTGGACCCTCAGAGCCTCCAGCAGTGCCCTAGTACCTCCTTTCTTCACTCCGATTATAATGGCTTGGGGTAGTTTCTTCTCGCCGTAATCCGAGGTGCAGTTGGGCGCTCTCCTGAGGCTGAGGTCGCTGTCCGTGGTGCTGAAGTCCTGATGCTCTTTCTCCACAGCAGCGGCGGCGGCGTCGGCGGCCGAGTGGAAGCTGCTGCTGCTGCTGCTGCTGGTCGTGGTGGCCGCCTGGGCTCGATCCCAGCCGGCGGTCCTCTCCTCCGCCCTCGCAGCATCGCGCTTGTCCGTGGAGAAGATGAGCGTCTGCTCCGTGGCCGTCCTTTCTATCAGCTCCTCGTCGAAGTAAGCCCGAGAAGCGGTGGAGTAAAGTTTCTCCCTCAGCGTCACGAAAGTTGTCTCCTCCGTCACCAGCCTGGCCTGGTAGACGTAGTTCTCCTGGAGGGGGAACTGCAGCTGGGAGTTGTAGCAGCTCATCAAGCTGTAGAACAGGTACGTGACGGAGAGGGAGAGGGTGAACATGAATAGGATTTTCCGGGGCACTTTAGAAGTCAAAACCGAAGTGCTGGACCAAAATGCCATCTCTGACAGCAGTGATCCCTCTCAGAGAAGTGGCCAGACATGTTTCCTCGCCCTACCTCCTCAAGTCTTGCATGGACACTCAACAACAACAACAACAACAGCAATAACGGCAACCAGAACGACGGCAATACAAGATAATACGTGTCGCTATCGGGGAGCCCCCCCTGCTCACAGCCCGAGCGCTGAGGAGGAGTTGGAGCGAGCTTCAGTCCGCATGGTGGAGAGGGGCGCGAGCGAGAGCGAGAGCCAGAGCGAGGAGGGAAGCGGATCGTTAGAATTCCAGAGGAATACCGCGCGTCGCTTTCGCGCGCATCGATTTCTTATTCCCGCCGCTGACAGCCTTTGTCACAATTTATCGGACTGAACTTGCAGATTAGAAGGGCTGCGGTCTGGCGTCCTTCCAAACGAACAGCCCAGCCTGATGCAGCCAGAGGGTGATGGACGAAGTCCTGGCATTTTACACACACACGCGCGCGCACACACTCACACACACTCACACACTCACACAAAAGGGAAACGAGAAAGAAACGCCAAAGTCTTTGAAGTGGTGAGCAAGGCACGTCTTCGCCCACTTGGAGATCGACTCAGCTTCTCTGAGTGCAGCTCTGACTCCGCCGTCCTTCACGCGGCCGAGATTTTGTTGTTGTTGTTGTTGTTTTCTTGTTCTTGGCGCCAAAGGTAACAGCGAAAGAGATGAATGTTAATCCGCTCGCGGTAGCGGTGGTGATAGTCTATCACGGAGCCCCGTCCTCCCACTGCTAATCCACTAACTTTGAGCGCTAGAAAGTGAACAACCTCCGCATAAATATTCATGGGCTCCTCTCAGTGGCTGAGAGAGGCACGCGCTGATTGGTGCAGGCGGCGTGAGCATCCGCGGCCTGAGCTCACCAAAAAGCGGCGGAACAGCACTATAGTAAGAGCAGGACGAGTGCTGGAGACACCCGCTGATTTTAGAATTTCACCCCAGGAAAAACGCATAAAAGAAGTGATTCCCCTTCAATGTAGCTCCACCAAAAGAGACAGGGTGGGCAGCTTCTTTACATTTTGAACTGGTGGTATTTCAGTTCTTATAAACTAAAAGATATACCATGGGACACTAAATGTTCCGCACTGTTTCTTTCAACATCACGTTTACTCCCAAGTCCATACAGTCCCATTCAAAGCACGCTGTTCATTACTGACAGGATATAACAATGATTAAATACTGTATTTATCATTCTAGTGTGAAATTAACTCATCTTAAGATATGTCCTGTAACAACATAGCAAATGACTCTATATATGTGACTATTCAGTTTACAGCAGTTTAGCCACGCCCATTCACATTGAAGTTATGAGCAGTGTTTCAGCCTGCACTGCATGAGGCCCAATACAAGGCAGCCAATCAGAAGTGAGGTCAATTACACATATCAGTCTTAAGCAGTCTGTTTACTTTTAAAGGATAAAACAGAAAACTTCATATAGAAATAGATTAACACTGTTTTGTTACATGACCCCCCGAGAATAATTGGACCTCAGGGAAAAAATGGGCCCTATTTTTGAATTATGCAAGATTACACAACACATGTAAAAAACATCTTGTGTGGTATTGTATAATATATATTTTAAATATATTGCGAATGGTTCACCACACAAATAAATCCTGCAGGAGTCATGTGGAGGTCCTGACCACTGATGAAGGAAAGAAAAAAGATATATGGAATATATGGCATCAGCAGTGGTTAGGACCCACACAGGATAACCACTGCATGTGGTATTATTTGCGTGGTGGACCATTCTTAATGCCATTCCCAATGTGTGTGTGTAATATATATATATATATATATATATATATATATATATATATATACATATATATATATATATATATATATATATATATATATATATATATATATACATTTTTGACTATAATATGACTATATTAGTAGGAATGTGTATATATGTGTATATATGCATATGTATGTGCCTAGTACTATTTTATGATATTATTTTTTTTAAATCTTTCTACAGCTACATTAACTAATACAAGCAATAAAACTGACGTTGTTTCCGTTTCCATGTCAGCAGTGAGGTATCATGGCTCAGTTGTGGTGGTAAGCATTTCTGTTCTTGCTGCTAATGTGTTGCTGCTATCATATATCTTATCATTATGATGACTACACTTCTGATCACCACCTTTGGCATATAGAATGAAGCTCATGTCCGCCCTCTACTGGCCTTACTGATGCTGCACTTATAGTCACTAGCAAAGTGAACACAGGGCTGAACACGGTGGGTGGGAATTGATGAATCTGTGTGGAAAATAGTGGTTTTGTAAGTATGGATGAGTAACGAATGTTTGGATCAGTTGGACCCTACAAGAGCCATGCATTGTCTGTGATGTATCATTCAGCGAATGAAAAGCTGTGCTATGTATAGCGGGCTGTGCAGTAGCGGTCAATTCAAGGTGAAAAGACTTATTTAGTGCCAAAGTTCATTTGGCACATTTATAGCCACAGTGTGACAGACCTTATTATTCACCGGATTGACTACATTCCCTGGGTTAGACTTATGTTCTTTAGGGAAATAAATAGCAGAGATCTGAGGTTGAGTGCCACTGAGTAAGGTGTCCGTTTCGATTAGAACGACCCATTCAGGATGTCTTTCAAGCTCTAGAAGGAAAATCTGTTTAGCCTGAAGCTTTGAGCATCAATTAAAAGGAAGAACTTCCCGATGAAATTTTGAAGGATCAATAGAATCCTGATGTTTTTGATAGTGCAGTTTGTGTGGTGATCTAATTGAATCCCTTAAAATGCTTAAAAGCTTAAATGTGTCAATTTCTTAACTATGTCACTTACATATTAGTTTCATGGTAATTCATAGTAGCTACTGAATCACGTATTTTCAAGGGCTCATAATAGATTTGAAGTAGTAGAATGTGGATGTTGCTAAAGTTTCAAAACTTACTATTCATCTATGTAAACTAAGCTGCAAAACAACCTATTTTGAATTCATTGTTTTTGTCATGTCACAAAAATGAACCCATTTATATACATCCACCTACTAAACTGTTCATGTTGAAGTTATACAGAGTGTTTCAGCCTGGACTGCTTTTTTAAATGAGACACAATACAGGGCAGCTAGTCAGAACAGAGGCTATTTACATATTTCAGTCTTAAAGATACAGTATCAGAACTTTAACTGTAAGGGATAAAGAGAGGTTGGAAAATGGTCATGTACAAGTCAATCACATAGCACATATGCTACACAAAACCACACACAATTTCATAAGTGGACCTCAGGGAAACCAAAATAAAATAGATGTAGTATATGAGCCCTTTAAAAGTAACAACTGAATAATAAGCCTGCAAAAGATGTACACACTATGTAAATTAACAAGGTTTTCTCAAGCAATACGCACTTAATGTAGTATTAAAGGCCATTTCCCACACTTGCAACATTAAGCTGTGAACACACTTTGCCTGGCAGCAGTCTCCTGCCTAGTCAGGTAGGTAAATCAAAGCTTGTGCATGAATCAGTATGTGGGATGTGTGAAGCTAAAGGAAGGCAGAGATCAAGGTTGACCCGTTGTGTTTTAAGCCTTTGTGTAAGGTTAGAGTGTACACACTGCAGACACGGCAGCAGAGACCTGAAAGGCGTTCTTCCATGCATATCTGCTCTCTCTCTCTTTCAGACAAAGACAGGCTGCTGTCCTATACACGGGAGCTAAGCACGTTGTGCTTTATGAAAACATCATGAAGGATTTTTTTACACATTTCTATGCTATCATGGGTCCTACAAAGCTCTGGCATAAAAATCAAATCAAATAAAATATAAATACAGAATAGAATAGAATAGAATAGAATAGAATAGAATAGAATAGAATAGAATATTGTGCTCTTGCTTCCTGGTCTTGGAAGGTAATAACATTTTGAAAACACACAGGAGACACACTGAAAAGACAGACAGCCTGATGTACTAAGCCTTTTGTACCAGTTTCAGGTACAAATCTGACATATTCTGCCTTTGTGTTATGTACGAAACTGGTGCATAAGCCTAAATGCACGGTTTATGGCCCATGTGCAAGGAAAAACTCAAAGTGTGCTTCTCTTCCTCATGCATATGCATTAGAAGGAGGACTACGCACAACGTAAGAGGGCTGCTCCAAAAGTGGTGCACTGCAAAACATTTTTGGTATCTTAAAAAGTAGGTAAAGGTGCACTAAAAAATCCATGTTAAAAGTACATAATGGTAAAACAGTGACATGATACTGTGACTCCACAGTGACCTGGACCACAGGATTACTGTGTTATAGCTGCATTCTGCTCTACACTTACAGTAAAAAGCTGTAATTAAAATTTTCTACAATTTTCGGTAATTTCACATACAAATTTGCTTTTTAATTTTTATAAATATAATAATAAAAACAATATCAAAGAACATATTTAATTACCATGTTTTGCACTGTATGTGCACAGAATAACTGAATAAAAAAACAAGCATAAAACATTAAAAGTCATTAAAATACAAAAACCTGAATTGTCAGGTTAAAACACTTAAAATGTCTTTTAACAGTTATATCCCATAATGCTGTGCGGTACAGATCAACTTCAACCTCACAGTCATTTGCTATGTTGTTACAGGACATCTTAAGATGAGTTGATTTCACACTAGAATGATAAATACAGTATTTAATCATTGTTATATCCTGTCAATAATGAACAGCGTGCTTTGAGTTAATTAAACTTCTAATAGTAAGTTAACAGAACAAAGATCTGTGCTTTAACAGGACAAACATTTTCTTAACAGACGTTCGGTGAATTTGAACTTTTGTTGCAGCACATTTACTTCTTTTTTCAAGTTAAGATGCTAAAAATGTCTTACAATGTGGAGATATTATAAGTGTGGCTGATTACATATTCTGCTCCGTTTACTCAAATTTGCCTTGACTTTCCTCCACCTTTCAAAACTAGGCCTACTTTTGTGTTAAGGTCTCAAAAGACGTGTTGTTGAGAGATATCCATTAACAATAGCAGCAGACACAGCAATTAGACAAAAACAGAAGCCTCAGACACATAATCAGGTGTTTCATTCAGTCCTATTGCCCCAGGGGTATAAAATCAAGCACCTAGCCATGCAGTTTGTGGAACTGTAATAGGATGCCACTGGTGCAACAAGTCGGTTCGTAAAATGTCTT